CACAATGCTCTGCGCTTGCCAGCACAGAACGGACCTCCTCATCACTGTGACCTGTCAGACCGACATGCAGCTCCGGTGTTTCCAGCACCGTGGACGCTTGGCGTGTGTTGCAGACGCATTTTAAAACAAAGACAGAAGAACGTGGATGCTGACGAAGTTCTGCTGCTTCGGTCGGTGCAGGACTGCCTCATGAAAGTCAGTTATTTAAATAAGAACCACTCTCCTGATGCAGGCCAGACACTTCCTCATTGTGTTGTTATCCGCAGAAGAACACAGAGATTCACAAATCTGATCTTGTTAAAATAAACGTCTCAGAATAGTCCTTGTACCCTAAAGACAGCCGTAACGAAGAGCTTTTCATTCCACTAACCACAGCAAACCTCTGAGAATGAGCAGACGCTAATGATGCAGGAAGCACACACACTAATTATCCGTCTTTTTGCTCTGCACAGCATTATTTTTGGTATTAAATGTTCTGTCTCTGTCTTGTTATTCTAATATTTGTTGCCAAAGCAGACCCGACCGATTCAGTGAAGCGGTTCTGAACAGGAAGCTCCAGAGCGTTGGGCTGCAGGACGTGGAGGTGCTCGTCTGGTGCAGCTTCTCTTCTGTCTGGTTTGCATGACTCTGGTGCAAATGGACAGAGACCATGAATAATACAACATTTCAATCAGCAGAGACAAAGAGGCTTAAAGACTAATGAAATAATTTTTTATCTGAGTTGGAGCGCACGGAGGAGAGAGCTGAAGAAATATGTGAGGACATCTGTGGCGACTAGACGTCCTGGTGCAGCGCTGGAGTCCACAGAGCCTCTAAAGGCTTTATTTCAGGGGAAGGTCTTCATGCATCTACACACTGCTGAAGGACAAACGTCAGTAAAGACTCTTTTACAACATTTGATGGGAAAAATATACAGTTTCACTCGACTTAAATAATAATAAAATTATATGTAAACTTATTTTATAGATTTTTCCTGCTTTCTTAAAATCTAGAAGAAAGTTTCAATTTATATGATAACCAAAAAAAACCCAAAACAAACATGCTATGCACGTCTGAAATTACACTTTTTACTGTGTTTAAAGTAGAAAAATAAATAAAATAAACCGATTTGCGTTTGAAAGAAAAACTACGTATACTCAGGTTTGAAAGGTGGTTGCTCGTCTTTTAAGTGTTATTTTATAGATTTACTTGCTTTGTTAAAATATGCATTATAACTAAAATAATCTCAGAAAAAAGGTAGAAATCTGTAAGTAAACTGTAGAAAACAAACAAAAAAGGCCAAAACAGTAAAAAAAAACAAACATCCAGATCAAAACTAAACTATTTCACTGTATGGAAATCAGCTAAGTAATCATTATTTTACAGATATTTGCTGTTGTTTTTGTGTTACAGTAGTTCTCTGGTTGTCTCCGACACCCTTTGCTGCAAGAATTTATCCGTTTGTTGAGGGAGTTTTTATTTTATTTGATTTATTCATGGTTGTGAGTGTGGACTGCTCCCCTGACATCTCTACCAGTGCATTCAACTACAAATTAAAAACTCAGAAATGGAAACTAGAAGAAGTCATCTGATGATGTCTGTGAAGCACGTTCTGGTTTCAACCAGCTTTATCCTCACGTCGTCCCTTCAGTTAGCGAAGCAGAGCTCAGCTCAGGACGGAAGGAGGCCCACGATCAGGTGTCTGAACCAGCTCTCAGAGAGAAGAAGCAGCGGTTCGGTTCTAAAATCCTCCCAGATTTCTGCTGTGATGAGCAGAGCTTTCAGCAAATCAACCTCGTATCCACCGACTGAGCTGAAGGTCATACCGAGCTCGTACAGGTTGGTTTTCTCCTCAGACGCTGCAGTCCCACCGTTCCCTCTTAACCTCGGCCGCCACCGAAGAAAACGTCACCTCGTCTTCTTGGCTCGCCTCCAAACTGGAAACGGGATGGAGAGAGACGCAGCGACCCCGAGGCCGGCCTCATCAGAGCCGCACACATCACACAGACCCGGTCCGTCATTATTAAAATGGATCCCAGAATAATGAAGGTCACTGCTCACGTCCTCCGACTACATTTCAAACCTGCGTCGGCACACAATCAGCACAATAGTCCAGCCGGCAATCAATTACAGCCGCGACTTAGCGACACGCCGAATCTCATCTCGTAGAAAACACGGATAAATACGTGACGAGGCCGTAATGAAGCCCAACAGGACTCAGTTCAGGGGAAGACAATGGAGATGGAAAATGGAAACGCCGATCCGGAGCCCTGAACAATGCCGGCAGAACACTTCATACCGGGTCGTCTCTGACCTCCATTCAGTGACCAGAATGAAAACAACGCATCAGAATTATCTGTCTGTTCCTCCATTTCCCTCCCGGCGAGTAAACAGCGAGATAGCTGCAGGATACGGAGCTCTGACAGCACATCAACACCGGGCCAGACGGACCACATGGACCAGCAGTTAACCTCCAGTCATTGTTGGGTTCAGTCTGGTATCAGCGGTGCAGGTGGCGTGATGTTAGCTCTCCGCTGTGATAGTGATCACACGAGTGTGAATACTCCCAGAACTAAGAGCCAGCTCGTTAGACTCCTGCTCTGAAGGAACCGCTTATTAACCCCCTGAACCCGAAGCAGGTTCTGAACATTCATCTGAACACATTGATGATGGCCTGAGGAGTCGGGGAACAAAACCGAATGAAAAGGAAATAAAAAAAACTGTCCAGAAGCTCAACTCAAAATGAATCATGAAGCTGCTCCACGTCTGCTGGCTGTTGGACTCCATATCTGGTCCAGCCCGGCTCAGATCAGCTCATTTCTAGAACCGTTTTGTGCTTGATTGTCTCTGATTTATCTGATTTTTATCTCCTGTCAGCTGTCATGTTTTCAGGCATTTCAAAGTCAAGTTCGTGAATGTTTGAATGACGACATCTCAGGAACTGTTACAGACAGAAGCTGGACAGTTTCTCTGTTAGTTCTGATCATCGATATTGATCAAGTAGATCAAATTATCTCTTGTTATTCATGATAAAAGGTGAAGCTGCCTTTGAGCTCATATGAACAGAAACCCTGATGATGCAGGAGTCAGTGAGAGATGATTCCTGAACCCCGAGTCGCTGCGTGTCACAGGAACACCAACATGAAGA